CCGTTTTTGCGGGGGGGGAATTGCAAACTTCTCCGAGCTCGGGGCCAGCGCTGGCGGGAGGGGGGTGCCCGGGGCTGCGGGAGGATCCCCCACCCCGGGGAAGTAACCACCTGCCGGCCAGGGGAAAACTCTCATCACAAAGGAGTCGCTGCTCGGAACATGACAGGGGAACAGGCTGGCTCTTTGGAGACTGCTGAGGAGGGGCCAGTGGTGCCAGCCCTAGTAGCAAGTTCCCTGCCTTTCTGCAAGCTCCCTGTGGAGGCAGGCTACGGCGAGGGAAAGTTGTTCTCGGTAAATTGAAAATGCGCTTGTGGCACTTCTTGGTTCCAAACCTGCTCTCCAGGGCAGAGCACTGTGCCAGCTTCAAGTCGGGGTAATTGAAGACTGCATCAAAAGCCTTGGCTGCAGCAGAGCAACTGAGAGATGATGTGTAATGTCTGGACTATCAGAAGTTAATCCTGAGTACACGTTAGATGGACCAGGTTTTTCCCCATCTTGGCCCTTCGAAACCACAGGGGGCCATGTTGTACTAGATCCTCTTGTTTGAATGTGTTAAAAGTTCCCAGTTTAGGCTGTGTGAAAGGTGCCAAGATACTCGGAAGAAGTACGTACACGTAAAGGGGTTCGCTGTCCCAAATAAAATGCTTAAGCAATCCTGTTAACATTGTTTTAGCTGTGAGCTGAATTATGCCACTATTTTAAAGGCACTGCTTTTTGATAATGATAAGACTCGCCTTTATCCCCAGAGTTGTAAGTGAGTTTACGATGACTTAACCTAGTAAAAATGTGGCTGTCTTGTTTTTTTGTGATTGTGAAGGCCTGCTCATGAAAGCAATGCACATATCTGGGCCTATGTACAAGAACAGCAACTAATGTAATAAATTGTACTTACAAAGGGGAAAAGTTACTAAAATGTGGTTAAAAAAATTAAACACCACCAAGTATTTTCAATTTGCAGTCACATTCTGAAAATTTCCATTTAAGTCATCTTAACAGTGTCACACAGCAAGCACCTTCTAAGAAGTTTTAACTATTGTCCTATAAAACCCTACCTGATCTGAACTGTGGAACCTGGTGCTTCCTCTCAGTTCATTCATGATGGGGTTGGGGGTCAGCTGTGGTGGTTTGGCTGTTTTTGTCTGGAAATTAGCTCTGCAGACTAGAGAACCCACCCCTAGCAGATAACGCCTCTGTCCTTGCAACCTTCTGCTCTTCAGAGTGAGTTTTCTATCCAGATCATTTGTCTTTAAGTGTTGGGCCAAGTGAGAGAAATTAAGAGTGGGCCCACCACATGGCTATACTCCTCTTATAGGTGTTGTACAGAACACTATACAAGTAGCTTCAAGGGAGAGAACAGTTCTGCTCTGAACAGAAACGTTGGAACTGATGGGGATTCCTAAAATCTGCCTCCAATTCATTTATAAAAACAGGATTAATCTTTTCGTAATAACATTTTTCAAATTTATTTGCCATATTTATTTGCAAAATAATGGTATTGGTGGCTGTATTAAAACTACACACTGCTCTCCATCTAGGAACTGAAGCTGCCCTCCTACAAAGGCCAATCTCCCCAGTTACATCTGAGAAGATATTTTGCAGACCTGATTGCCATTGTGAGCAATCGTTTCAGACTCTGTCCTGCAGCACGACATCTTGCTGTTTACCTATTGGACCTCTTTATGGATCGCTATGATATATCCATTCAACAGCTGCATGTCGTTGCTCTTTCCTGTTTACTTTTAGCAAGTGAGTATGCAACCAAATTTGATTGACTAAGCTAACAGGATCTGGTACCAAATAGAAGGATCATCTGGTATAGAGCAGATTTAGAAAGTAAATGTATGTAGAAGATAAAGGGCTATATTGACATTGCTGAATTTGTCTCAATAACTGGACCTTTCTTTAGCCCCTTGTTCCAACTGTTGTTGGACTTGAAAGAAGTAGACACAGAAGTCTATAATGACGATTCAGATTTTATATATTAAAAAAAAATCAAGGATTCTTTAACTACAGTTAAATATAGAATTATAAGGACTTTCTTTTTAAAGGCCACCTGCATTTCCAGGTTGACAGATTAGATACTGGACAAAGTAAAAGAAGTGCCCATTTCCTCCCCTTTCTTCCTAATCTTTCACAAGCTGCCTAACAGCTTTCACAAACATTTGGTTTAATGGAAAGTAGTGTATGTAAGTTCAGCTACAAAAGGTTAGGATGACATTTTGGGGTGAGCTCAAGTACAGTCAAGTTGTATGGATCAAACATCTTTTCATTAACAGTAGAATAAGTGGAATTCATTGTTGTGTAATATATCTTCTGAAGTTTACAGCAGTTGTAGAAAAATGATTATGTAAATTAATGAGAGACTTCTCTGGAAGTTTCAGTACATAAACAAAATGTCTTCATTGGATGGGTACCTGCAATTGCTGAGGGGAAAATGGAGGACTCGGTCCACTTAACATTCAAAGACCCCTGAAAAACACTTAATTACTATTACAACATAACTTCAACCATTGAGTGAAAAACGTAAGAATGATTCTGCAATAAAACTGAGGCAGTGGAGCAGATAGCCAAATGTAAAAGTGTGATGAGTCAAAATCTGGGATGGGATGGAGTTACTGATAACTTTTAAAAGGAGTGTTGGGGAAAATTATAACTGGTGCAACGTGCATTTCCAGATGCATGTTACTGAAATTCCGTTAAGTCAGTTACTAAATTTAAAAACTAGAAGATTTTCAAAGAAAGACTTGCATTTAAAAAAAAAATCCAAAGACTGAAACTTGTTTTTGAATACTCAGAAAGTCTTAATAGTATGTCACTAATGACTGGCAGCTTTTAGAATTATTTATTTAACCACAAGACTACTCCTAAAGTATCCTTGATGCTGTGATCTAGTCTGGATGTATTCATTCTTTGCAGCAAACCCCTCATAAGGACGCGTGAGAGAGAACAGGAAGCATGGCACCACATAATATCCTGCAGGATGTCTGACTATTATCTGCTAAAGCTTAACACTTTATAACGGGGCTCTTTTCTTTCACTTCAGGCCAAACTCCCCTTGAGCTTTGTTTATGTAAGGAATGGAGGTGTTTGACATGTTTATTCCTGTCATACTTTACTTTAGACAGTAAGTGGAGTTTGCTTTATATTTCTAATCTTTTTTTTTTCTCCTTTTCTCCATGCCCAAAGGTAAATTTGAAGAAAAGGAAGACAGCGTTCCTAAACTTGAACAGCTGAACAGCTTGGGCTGTATGACTAACATGAATCTAGTATTAACAAAACAGAACTTGCTACATATGGAACTATTGTTGCTAGAAACATTTCAGTGGAACTTGTGCCTCCCAACTGCTGCTCATTTCATCGACTATTACCTTTCTATTGCTGTTCATGAGACAGATCTCCATGATGGCTGGCCAATGGTTTGCTTAGAGAAGACTAAGTTATACATGGCAAAATATGCAGACTACTTTTTGGAAGTATCCTTACAAGGTGAGTTGCATGATGTGGTTAATGCCTCTCTAGTTTTTGGATAATATTTGTCTCTAACTTACCTAAATCTTTTGTCTCCTACCCGCCCCCCCCCAGATCATGCATTCTTAAATTATGCCCCTTCTTTAGTTGCTACTGCATGTGTGGCTGCTTCAAGAATCATTTTGCGTCTCTCTCCAACATGGCCAACTCGACTGCATCGACTTACTGCATACTCCTGGGACTTCCTAGTGCCATGTATTGAACGACTATTAATGTAAGCTTTATACTGGCTTCTCATTTTTAAAAACTTCTTTCTCAGCGTACTGTGTATTTAAAGGATAGTTTTATTTAAAAATATGTATAGATTCCACCACTAGCCCAAAAAAACCCATTGGCTTACTAGCAGTTGTCGCATCAGTTCCAAAAGTACTTAGAATTAAGTGTAGCACCTCAACCAATGCAAAGCCCCTGATACAAAAAAGAAAAGAAAATCTAACTCGCCATGTTCCTAGCAAATAAAATATGTGGACAAAGGCCTCGCTCTAGTATAAGCTTTGCATCTCTATTGAAACTGAAAGCGGGCATCTAAAAAAAAAAAGCCCACACCCCTAGAATTCAATACTTAACCAGTGAATAGGACAGGCAGCCTGAGAGTTCCCATTTACTCAGAAGGCCTACAATCTGGAAGTTTCTAATGGAGCATGCTACAGATAGTCAGACCCACCACTAAGAGGGAAACTTGCATTTAGCCACAAATTGAAAGATGTGACAGGCTGTTGTCACTTACATATCAGGTTCCTGCACATGGGATTCAAAGGGATTATAGGATTGAATGCTGCTGTAAAAGTGCTACACAGTCATTTCCATTGGTCTAGATAGGTGGTTTTCAAACCATATAAACCTTTACCTGCAAGATACTGCTGCTCATACCTCCTATACCAGAGCAGTGTCAATATGTAGCTGTGCCATTACTTGCCACACATTGACCAAGTGGAAGCTCCATAATTGTTGTTAAAGATGTAGGTATGTATTCCTTGGCAAAGTGCCGTATACCTCAGTTTGAAGACCACTGCTCTAGATGGTCTAGGCTTACTGGCATCACTTACCCCGTACTGAGGTGTACTTCCACCCAGGTCCAAACTGGTTAGTGCTTAAGCACAGAAACGGCTAAATGTAGACTTGAAGAGAAACTGAGTGTTCTTCCATACAGATTAACACTCCACCCCATAATTGTCTCGTTTGGTGGTCTAGTATAGTGTACACACTAAATAGGAAGGCATAAAAAATCAAATGTTGTGGCATTACAGGAGTGTTATTCAGGAGAGGAAAAATAGTTAACACCTTTTTAGGAAAATCTGAGAGGAGCTGCTGCGAGTTCTTCCCTACAATGCATCCAAAGCAAATCAGCAACACCTCATGATTAGCTGTACACCATTTTCTCTGAATAATTAACTGCTGATCAGAATATCATTTATAGGAGCACAACAGCCACCCAAAATGTCAATCCTCTCTCACCTGTGCAGAAAAAAAAAATTAAACTCATGGCTAAAGTACACCATTAACTGAGGTATACAAGTCGTATACTTCTGACTTCAGTAGAAGAACTAAAAAGAGGGAGTCAGCAAGGAGGTGTGAATCTAAAGGAACATGACACAGCCAGATGTACAGTTTAAGTGTTGACTTGCTGAGAGAGGGAGAAAATTACCTTGGCCTATACTTCACAGAATGTCACTTGTATTGTTTAAAGTGCCTAAAGATCCTTAGGTAGACGATAATTATAAAAGCAAAGCTATTGTTTTCCAAAACTGTCAGACTTCTGCTTTGTGGTTTGTAGCTTGAAGAGAAGAAACTATTTCACTTTCTGCTTCTCAAACACTAGCATATTAGTAGACTACAGTAGTGAAGACTTCTGCCCTGATGTGTTTAAATCCAAGAAAAAAAGTTTCCTCCAATCTTAAATGCAAATACTAATCTTAATGTTGTAGATTAATTGTTTTGGTGTAAGATTTCAAATTGGTTAGCTTTACAGTTTGTTAGAATGGTCCTAAAACTGTAAGTCAGGCTAAAACGTTTTCTTTTTGTCTTCTAGTGCACATGATAATGATGTAAAAGAAGCAAACAAGCAAAAGGGACAACATGGCCAGTCTGCGCAACACAGTGTTTTTCAAACCCCAACTCCACAAGAGACTCATGTTCCACAGCAAATACCACAGTATCTCCAAACACATCAAACTCCATTACAGTATCACCATCCAACATCACAACAGCAAACCTGTCAGCAAATTATGTCAGCTAGTCATACATCATCTTATCCACTGCAGACTTGTCCTGCTGCCTTGCAGTCCACTGTTCAGGCCCGAGGTCACATGCAGACTGGTACTGGTATGTCACTAGCTGTTCCAATAGAAGTAAAGCCATGTATAAGTGTATCCTACAACCGGAGTTACCAGATCAATGGACATTATCCTTGTATTACTCCCTGCTTTGAAAGGTGATGAGTACAAATTCAGTTATTCTCTTTTCTTTTTCTCCCTCTTACCCCTTTCCCCTGCCCCTCCCTTACCCCCCCATAAAGCCTCTAAGTCTGAGAGCAACAGCAATAATCTGAATAAAAGTAGTACTTTTTTTGTTTTTCTCCAGAAAGAAAGCAACTGGAATGGCAACCGAGCACTGAAATGCATTAGCTCAATTCAGACTGTGCAAAGAATAAGCATGTAGCATGCCTTCAAAAAGGAATGTATGTACATGGGAATATAAGCTAATATTTCTGGCCTTACACTGCACTCTGTGCTCCCCCCTACCACTCATCCACCCACATTTAAAAAAATATAGCTGTGGATTGACCAGAGGCTCTCCTTTTAATGAGGGAGACATGCAGTATTATTTTTGAAGAGGCCATATTGAATACTGCCATACAGTATTAAGATTTACTTTGAGTAAATTCAAACTTAGGAGTGTTGGATGCCAGGCTTCCCTGGAAATGAGGTCTACAGAGAGAGAAACTTCTCTTGACTAAATCAGTAATGCAACTTACTCTTTGTTCTTGCTTTTGCTCACTCATTAGATGTATGCTTTACTGTATAAGGCACTCAAGTTAACTGACTTTTTTTAGTTAGCTTTTATACTTTGTGCCTCACAGGACAAATATTCTACTCTACCTTTTTTTTTTTTTTTTCGTCTCATGTTTGGAGTAACACTTTCACACTAACTCAGGGAATTATCTACTCATAAATTCTGTGCTGCTGTTGTCTTCATTTTTAACTGGGTATAATTTAAGGTAACCTTTCCTTCAGGACATTTACAGATCATCGTACCAAAGGCATATGTGTGTTTAAAAAATATAATTTCAGTCCAAACTACTTTCTGCCTCCCTAAAGTGTGCAAATAATTGCAGAAATGAGTAGTTCAGTTTAAACTTAAGATACTAATTCTGTAACAGAACTAATATGGTAGTTGTGATTATATATAGTTTTATTAATATGACCAATATAAAAATATCCTTTCATTCAACAGTCTATAAATCTCAGCTTATACAGGAAAAGGTGCAGATAAATACATACAGGAATCCAGTACTGCATGCCAAGCTCAGGGGAGAAGGGAGAATATTTTCTCAGGTATTACTGGGATAGCTCATTCTTCTGCAATACAGAAGATCTGAATTGAAGAGTAGTCTCTGTATTCCTCATGTTGAGTCAAACCCATATTGCAGAGTGAACTGCTATGTAACAGGGAGGGCACTTAATACATAGTTGTCTGAACTGCAGTATCTTTTATGGTGTAGGTAGCCAGAGTAGGAAGTTTCATTTCTTCAGCATGGGGATGAAGGTGATGGTGAGAGAGCTTTTCTCCATTAATATACTCTTCTTTCATAAAAGGTGGTAGCTGATTCTCACCACAATCTGATATGGGAAAAGGAATTGATTAATGGAGCCATACTGACTTAAATATTTTGGGTGTGTTCATGGATTTCCCCCCTTACTTGTAGCACTTAAAATTATGATTTACATGGCAGAAATGAGGCCAAGCGTATATGATCTGTGGAACCCCAAGTATTCTGAATGGTTCTTGTGGGGGTGGGAGGTAGGGAGTGTTAAGGTATATGTGATATCAGTATCAAGGGAAAGATATTTATCATGAGAGAGGGGGACTTTCCAGAATACTCAGTAGTTAAAGAGGATGGCTACACTTGTTCTGATGCTCTACCAGGAGCTGAACCAGAAAGTGCTGCAAGAACTTATCCTTTATTTTTGAGGAGAAGGAATCCTCTGTATTTGAAGTTATTTTAACGCACACGTCATGCTTCAGGGTGGTTAGGCCTTTTTGTTTGTTTGATTGGTTTTTGTGGGACTGAGGGGATCAAAATGAGGAAGATTAAGCTCCTCTGCTTTATGCTAGAAAATACACATCCATGTAAGCACAGCCTATGGTCTTGTGGTTGCCTCAAAATGTAACCCTTTCATTTCTTCTCCAAATTTGTCCCTACTTTTGAGGCTTAGGGAGTAGAAACTTCCAACCACCTGAAATGTTAGATTGAGATAAGGAATGTGTCCAAAAGAAACACTTTTGCATGTTCAGGTTTCACTTTATTCAGTGCTATATCCAAGTCTTCAATGTGCTAACTACCTCTAAAACTATGAATGTACAGTTTTGTAATGGACCATGACTTGAAATAACAGCAGACATCTGTAGCAAAGCCTGTAAAATCCTTGTATTGGCTAAATCATCATAATCTTTACATGTAATACAGTAATATGTTGGGGGGGTTTTGGTGGGGGGGGGAAGGGTAAGTATTAGCAAATCTATCCCATAGGTATTTAACACACAAAAGATAGCTAGTACTTTAACACTGGATTTATATGGGGGATTGTTCAGTTAGCTCTGCAAAGTCTACAGACAATAGGGTATTTTTATTTGACTGTATGTTAAGCCATTAGGCTTAACTTTAAAAGCATCCACTACTTACTATTTGTTTGGTTACTTTTTATTTATTTAATCTAAATTTCTCTTGATGCTGCAGCTTCATGATATATGGAGAAAGTAGTGTACACTGAACATTTTCAATATATTACTTAAAAAGGGCTTTACCAGTGTTCATTGAATAAATACACTACATGTTCTTACTGAGAGAACCAAATGTGTGTTTTATGGCAGCATTTAAAATGATGCACATAAATGCAAAATGTCCACAACAATGGAATCTGGGTGAGTGCTATGCATTCAAGTTTTTTTTTTAATAAATCTAGTTTTGAGTAAATTGTCTCAATTGTGTCTTGCTTTGCTTGTCCACTGACGCAGAATTGTAATTCCAGAATCCATCCAAAGGTCTCTAGCTTCTGGAAGCTCTCTCTCCCCATGCTCTCTTCTGTGGTATTGCATTAGGCTCAGGAACACATTTACTTTACCACATTAACAAAGCAGGAAGGAAATTGTGCTGGAAGAGATTTTCAAAATTGCACCTGCAGCATATACTAGACTATTGTATATTTCAGCAGTGCTGTACCTAGTGCAGAGCTGCATAGGCGAGGGAGGCAAAAAGGAAGGAAGTAAAGATATGGATTATTAATAGGGTGACTAGACAGCCCTGGTTTGGCCAGGACACTCCTGGATTAAGTAGGCCAGTTGCAAGTGGTTGGTCATAGTCCCGGACTGGAGTTCAGTAGGGAGGCAGAACGGCATGGTACACCAGGCAGATGGACAGGTACGTGCTGCTGCTGTGCAGGAGCAAGGAATGCAGGGACCGTAGATCTTATGACCATACATCTGTCCACCTTGCTCCCATACAACAGCAGTAGTGTCTGCCTGTGGGGCACACCATATCACTCTGTCTCCCTGCTGGACTCTGTTCTGGGACTTTTGACCAACTGGCCAGGATGGGGCTACAGAATCCAGAACTGTCCTAGCCAACCTGGGACATAGTCACCCTAATTATTAAACCACTAGCAAATTGCCCATCAAGAATGACGGGGAGGGCAGGGGGGACAGGGACAGAAGCCCGTGTCTGGGCCCCCCACCTCAGGCCGGTGCCTGGGCCATTCCCTGCCTCCCTGCCCACTGCTTCAAGCTGGGGCCCTAGCCGCTCTCTGCCTCTCCCTGCTGCTTTGGGTCAGGGCCAGGGCCGCTCCCTTCCTCCCCATCACTTCAGGCCAATGCTGTGGCCACTCCCTGCCTCCCCCTGCCACTTTGGGCCAGAGCCGCTCCCTGCCTTCCCCCACCGCTCGGAGCCAGAGCCTAGGCTGTTCCCCGCCCCCTTCCCCTTCAGGCCAGGTCAGGCTGCTCCCCCCACCACTTTGGGCCAGGGCTGGGGCTGTTGCCCCCCTTCCCCCTGCTGCAGTCAGTCAGTCACAGCCACTGGTAACCCCACTTCCCTTCCCTTCCCACTCCCCTCTCCTGTTCGCTGCTGCCTCCCATCCCTACTGGCTGTTGCAAGGGGGGGAACTGGACCCTGGCTTCAAGAAGCAGACCTAGGGGGCGAGGCCAGTGCCACTGGCCTTGCCCCCCGGCTCCATCTCCATTACGGCAGCACTCTTGTCCCCACTGTCCCCCTCTGCCTCCAAGGAGCAGGGGAGGGGGGCAAAGCCAGCTCCACTGGCCTCACCCCCCTCCCCTCTGGCCCCTCAGTACCCACTGTAATGGTGATGCTCTGCCATCTGTCTCTGTCTGTGTACAGCACTCTGATTGGCTGCTGAGACAGCTAGTCAGAGTATGAATAAAGCATTATGGACAGACAGACTAAGGCTTTTATAATATTGGCATTTATAAAATAATATATTAGCAATCCCTTTTTTTTTCTTTTTTTGAACAAGAGCTTGAAGCAACCCATTTAACCTCAAAATGATTGGGAGAATAAGTGCTAACTTTCTGTCAATGAAACACCACGAAAACCTCAATTAGGACCACTAGATGTATTTATTATAGCTAGGAGTGTGAGCCTATTTTGGGGCAGGCACTATACAGATACAGAATGCATGCAGACTGCAGTATCTTCATGTTTGTTTGTTTTTTATAATTCAAACTAACATCAATAAATAATGCATATTTTTACATGCCTGTAGGTATATAGACCTTTAAAGTGAGGGCCCCATGCTTATTCAGAACTTAAAATGTTAAGTAGCTCTTACAAAATCTCAGTTTCACCTCAGGTAAGACCGTACAACATGCCATATTATTTCATAATGCTTCAAACTCAAACTCATCATTTACTCACATAAGTATTCTGAGTTCAAAAAAAGTTCATCCAATTAAAGTTATACTACATACAAGATGTTTTCCATGATAAAGACTTTAATTGCTTAGTCTTAAGTAAGTTGGAAACCAATTTTAATAAACTATCAGAACTGGAAAAAATTTTGGCAGCTGGATTTTGATCCCTGAACCATTTTGTTCTTCAGGTGTGTTAATTTGAAAGGCTCTGCTTCCAGATCCAATAAAAGAGAAATGTGTTGACAGAGTTGTTATTTGCAAGACACCTCTTGGCCTCCAGCCACACCCCTACCGCCAGCTGGATCATGACCTTGTAGTAGAAAAAGCACACCTGGCAGAGGCCAGGGTCTCAGCACCCTAGTGAGGGGGCCACCACTGTGGAGATACCCTCCCCAAGGTTTGGAGCTGGGGGAGCAGGGCCCATTTAGGGATATAGAGTGGGACAGAGCTGAGGACCACCCAGGTCCCCAACTCTTCTAGGGACTCAAGAGGGATATACTCACCCTTCATCATGAGCCCACTCTCCACTGCCTTTTGTGCAGCAGCTACCGAGGCAAGGAAAAAAAAAAACCCTTGCCATGAAAGCGGGAGGCCGCCACAATCTTGGGGGCCCCTACCACTCAAACTAGGGCCTGCACCCACATCTCAAAGTGCAGGTTCTCCTGTTCAGCTAGTTTGTATTTTACCCCATGCCTCTGGAGTGCTGAAAATGGGGCCCTGCCACCTGAGCTGGAAGGGCCAGTGGTGGAGGGTCCGGGCCCCACAGCTGTGGGTTGACCTGCAGCTGCCTGCGTGTAGCTGCGGTTCCCCTGCTGGGCGGCCACCTTGGTGGGGCCAGGACTAGGGCCAGAGACAGGCTGAGTGGGTGTGCTGGCTGGTATAGCTCACCTGGTCCGCTCAGGTGCTGGTAGTTTAGGTGTGGGGGTGGGGCCCTTGCCCTTCCCATCCCCAGCTATGGAAGAAGCTGAAGAGGAGACCTTCCCACTGCCCTTGCCCTGGGTCCCTGATGGGGCGGGGGGCGGCTTAGGAGCTCCTCCAGAAAGGCCATGGCCAGGGGAGACCACTGGCCCTTCCAACTCCCTGTTAGAGTCCTGCTTACCCCTGCAGTGGGGGATACAGGCTTGTCTACCCCCAGAGGGGGTTGACTGAACTCTGCCTCCAGAGTGAAGGTTGTAGGGACATGTGCCTCCCCTTGGGGGCCTGGCTGGAATGTGCCCTAGCTGGAACTTCCTACAGCCTGGCTGGAATGGGGGTTGTAGGAAGTTCTGCGGGGGTGTCTGCCTCCCCAGAAGGCTCCTGCTCTGCCATTGCTTGATGTAAGGGAAAGGGAAACAAAAAAGAAGAAACAAAAATCACAGCAGGTCTAGTGAATCCAATAGGGGCAGGGCAAGAACGAAGGGGGCTGAAGCTCACTGAGCTACAGCCCCACAGGAAATCAGGCAGGCTATGCCTGGGGAAGGTAGGGGAGGGAGATACACACACAAGGGCTGGGGAGACTCAAGTTGGTTACTCAGCCACACAACAAATACCAGGGCATGGGGAGTGGATCACAGGACTTACCACGCAAGGGCAAAACACACAGGAGAGGCTGCTGAGGTAGGTGTAAGAGATGGCTGGAGTGATGGAGGGGCTTCGTTTGTTGAAGCTCAGTCCAAGAGCCCCTCAGGCCTCCAACCAGGCACTTAGCAGTAGGTAGGAAAACAAGGCACAGGATCAGACACGGTGAGGCAGCTGTGAGGGACTGCAGGAGCAAACAGTAAATTAGAGAAGTATTCTAGTGCAGAGTGGTGCAAGGCAGTGCAGAAGGGTATCGCTCCTTCTCTCCTGAAGTAGGGGCAGTAGCAGTACAAGCAGCAGCAGCAGCAGTGGTAGCAGCCATCCAGGACAGCCACTCAAAGCATGTTTTAGGTAAAGGTGAAAGTGTAGGTGAAGGCGGGGGGAGTGGCCTGCCGAGGAAGCTGGGGCAGGCAAGGCGCCCTTAGGCACCAGCAGTGATAGTGGGGGAGGGGCCCATAGGCAATGCAGTCCCTCCCCAGGCTGTCCTCCGGCCATGGCTTGGCAGTGGGCTGGGCAGCAGGCCAGAACAGGAGTGCAGAAGCTGGGGTGCAACGCTGGGTTGCGGCACAGTGCAGTGGGGATGTGGCTGGCTCCACCCTGAGGGGGGGGCAGTGGCATATGGAAAAGAAACCCGCCCTGTGGAGGTGAGGTGGCAACAGCAGCAGCAGCCTGAGGCAGGAAGGGGTATGGCCAACTTCCACCAGAAGCTCCCAAAAGCAAGCTATTAGCAGCAGCAGCAGCCACCACAGCCAGAGGCAGGAAGGTCCATGGCCAACTTCCCCCAGAAGCTCCTGAAAGGAAGCTAGCAGCAGCGGCCTGGGACAGGAAGGGGCATGGCCAACTTCCTCCCAGAAGCTCCTAAGAGCAAGTAGCCCTGAGCTGCTTGCCAGGGCGGCTTTTTATACTGCTGGGGCCAGCATTGGCTGCAGATCTGGAAGGAGCTAGGTAGGGTTATTTTGCTCAAAGCGGCACAACTTGCCCCACACCAAAGTGTATGTCCGAGCACGTGTGCTGAGGCAAAAATCCCTGGCTCAAATTTGTGCTATTCCTATTTGAGTTGCTTCAAGTACACCTGCCTGCATGTGTGGATGTGCCCCCTGAGAGTATCAGGAGGAGAATCATGGTGGCCTTTTTGCAGTTTCTCTATGCTGTATTCCAGTGTACAAAATCTTAGGTGCATAAGTGCATTTACATACCTAAGTGCAATTTACTCCATACTGTTGTAGTCCCTGAAAATCCATTAATGTATCTATTTGGAACAACCACCATTTTACCCTTGAGATTGAGTCACAAAAACAAAATAGAGGAAGAGGACCCACCCATCTTTTGTTTTAATAGTTTTTCAAGGGACTGGAGAAGAGTAGAATAAGATCAGTTCTCTAAGTGCTTAGTGGGATTTTTTTTAATCTTTGTTTTTCTGCATACTGCCACATGCCAGCAAAATATTCTCCAAGGATATATTTTATAGTGAAAACAGTTGTTTCATTGGGCATTAAATCTTACACACACACACACACACACACACATGCGCGTGTGCACTATACATATTGCACAAATCATCTCCACATCATTGAATATGTGCTAGAATTTATCCTGCTAAAAATTTTGTTGATATGGAATCAAATTTACTGATACAAAATTCATTATTATGCTTCCTACCCTATCTACTTCATTACATAAACTCCAGCTCTTTACTAATCTCTTCAAATGTCCTAAGGAAACTATTAGACCAACACAGATAAACTGACAATGCCAGGCAGCTAGATAATGGAGTTATCTGAAAACAGTGCTATTGTATTACATGTGTATAGAAAAATGAAGCAGTGTATGAACTCTAGTTCTGCCATAAAAATCATTATAGAAATGCCTTGAAAGTCAAAATTATTATTGTATTACCATTATCATGGTATTGTTAGTTTTGAAGGAAGCTATATAACGGCTATGAAAATAGAGTTACATAAATGTCTTCGCTGAACACAAATATAAAATGAAAATGCCACATGACAGAGGGATAATTAAAAGACTAGACAAATAATGCAAGCAGCTGCATTCCTACCTTTGCAAACATACCTATTGCATATGAGTTCACCTACTGCTTGGAATGACCAAATCTTTGGGATGTAATTCTCAACTGATGTTGAGGATTGGGTACTGCATCATGGTCCAAGGTGCACTGTTTGCTTTCCTCAAGCCTTATATTATTGGCTGTTAGATAAAGGTTTCAACCTCAGACTTCAGTGTACTTTAACTCGGAAATTTCAGTACTTATAAAAATGATTATGTGGAGTTTCATGTTAATTGTCTCCAATTACATACAGATTAATTTTGCTCTGTTTGTAAATGTAAAGATTGTTTCTTATTGTTTGCCAGTGCTGGACACAGCTTGGAAGCTAAAAGTTAGACTGAGAGAAAACAAAGATTTTGCAAATGGAATTTATGTAATTCCATGGATGATGAATAAAACAATCCAGCTCTCTTTCAATGATACATTGTTTCTTCTAGATATAGATATGACTGTTAATATACACTGGTTACAAATCTTTTGAGTAAACCACTGCCTTATCTGACAAAAAAACAAAAACTTCAGCTAGCTGCATGCTGTTTTACTTCCATGTTGTCCCATATGGAATCAGCAGTAGCACTTTTTAACACTTTAATTTATACTTTTAAATTCGATGTAAAATAATATTAATAAAATCACAAATTATTTTTACTGATTTAACATTATTAAAATGATAATAAACCATTCATATGGTATTTTACAGCTTTGTTTTATTGTTTTTCCTGTAATTAAACTGTATTATTTACAATTACATGTTGTAAATTTAAACTCAGTTTTAAAAAATAAACAATGTAAATATTCTGCTACAGGGAAGTAAAGATACTCAATAATCCAACATTCCACAAAAACTTCACAACTGAAAAATAAAGAAATATAAACCAAAGCTAGCCAATGCACATTTCAAAAGTTAATAAGGAAAGAAAGGATTAGTTCCTCATTTTAGTAATTTCAGGGAACAAAGAGTATACTTAAGTATTTTAAGATTGCAGATTTGAATTTTCCTATATAGCTTTAACCAAAGTACACCAGTGTGTCTATCAGTCAAATATTAATATACATTCCACAATATTCTGAGGCATATTTTTTAAGTTAAGGGTGTTATTTATATGCTACTCTTGGAACATTTGAAAATCACTGGGCTGAAGCAGGAGGACATCAGAATACCTTTAAAAAACAGCCCGTTAAGATCTTTTCTTAAAAAAGATTCCCTTCTACTCCTCAACAAATAATTTTAACAACTTCTCAGAGCTCTAAATAAGATAAATTCTAAATTCATAGTAGCTGTAGTGTTAATTTACAATATACTTAATGGATAATGAATTAGAATTTTTATTTTTACAGTATCTCTATTATAACAAGACTGTAATAATGTACATTAAAGTCATAAATAGGACTAGTTTACCCCTGGAAAGGTAGAAAGATCTGTCACAGATTCTGTAAACACTGAGGGTGCATATAGATGTTAGGGGGAGGTGAAATCATGTTAAAATAGCCACCTGCTCTAACTTAGTTCGCCTGGATGCAGACCTTACACTTAAGATAACTAGTTAAGTGGATCTAAGTGCAAACTGTTCAGAAGTTCCAGGAAGGTTAGATCAGTCTAAAAACAGCTGATCTGATCTAAGTTAACCCTACCTCCGAGGTAATCTAACTGAGATTCGGTTGGCCATTTTTAAACTGATCTAACTGTCCCAAATTTATGTACAGTTCCCAGCACAGCCCCAGGCCTGGGAAAGCCCAGCCACTGGAGTCAGCCCCAGGACTGTGCTTTTCGTACTCCCCTGGGCACTAGGATATTTTTATCCCCCACCCCCTCACCCCCACCTCGAGGTGGACAACCTCTCCCCCGACAGAGCAGCCAGCCCCACCCCCCACAGCCCACCAGCTCCCCCCGCCATCCTGCAAGTTGCTCCTAGTGCCAGTTTTATCATCATTCGCCAATACCATTCAGGGAGGATCAGGGGGCTAAGTTCACAGTGCAGGGGGAGGGGCGGTTGCTCATTTGGGGGTGGGGAGTCAGGGAACTAAAAATAACCCCTGGTCCAGGGAATAGGGTAGAGAGTCCCTGACCCCCCCAAACCTCCACATGGATGCCACCTGCTCCCCCAATCTCCTGATCCCCCCATGGGCACCATCTGACCCCCCAATTCCCCTGCTG